GAATTGACAGGCAGTTTACTCAGTTTGTATGTTTACCAGGGAATATATTTCCGTTAAATTTTTGAAAATGTACGAAAACGGTTATAAATATGCTATAAAGCTGAAACTATGAACATAAAATATATTCAGTACGAGTCTACCAACATAAAAAATAAAGAACTGGCTAATCGACTGTATGTAGCCCCCGAAATTTGAATATTAACCTTATATTCTTAACAAACCTCGTATATTGAATATAAAGAGAATTGCCGATACCAAAAATGGAGAAACAAAAAAAATGTACAATATGTACACTATATGTAAAATACTGAGTACTAACTTGGGAGCTATTATTTATAGAAATATTATTTCCAAATGTGAATAAAAAGTGTTCTTGAGTAATAATAACAGTATATGTATTTTACCTGAAAATAAAAAATTGAAATATTAGTAAAAGCTGAAAATTAAAAATATTATTATGGACGCCAATAGGATCGCCACTTCCACAGATTATAATATATATGGAGTGGTTTGAAACTCTGGCCATTGAAGAAGCCCACAAGAAGCCCCGAGTCTGGTTGAGATACGTAGACGACACCTTCATAATATGGAATCATCCGAATGCAGAACTAGACATTTTCCTGAAGCACATCAACAACGTAAGTCATTCTATCACTTTCACAATGGAGAAGGAAATCCACAATGAATTGCCATTCTTAGACGTTTTGGTGAAGAGGACCGACACTAAATGGGAAACATCTGTATTTCGAAAACACAGGACAGTATCTGAACCAGAAATCCAACCACCATCAATCGACTAAGAGAGAAATCATCAAGACTCTACTAGACCGTGCTTTCGAGCTCTGTAATACAAAGGAAGGTCTCGAAAAAGAAATAGGCATCATCAAAAATGACCTTCAATGAAATGGTTACTCCAGAGCGATGGTAGAACAAGCTTTAGCTAGAAGACAGCAAGAGCTCCACAAGGAAGAGAAGCCGCCACAACCAGTACTTGTACTTCCCTATATCAGAGGGTTATCGGAAAGGATAAGACGGATTGTGTCCAAGTATAACATCAGGACCTGCTTCAGATCTGGGAACACTATCCGTAGCAGCCTCACAAAAACCAGGCCACCAATCGCGGACTGCGATTCCAAGAATTGTATTTACCGGATATCCTGCGAGTGCGGAGAATCATACATCGGTGAAACTAAGAGGTCATTGAAAGTTCGCATTGCTGAGCACAAGAAACACACACAGCGAGGATAAACCAGCAAATCCTGAATAGCAGAGCATGTCTGGACTCATCAACATAATATCAAATGGGCTCAAGCTGAAATCATCCACAAAGAGGAACACTGGTTTAGGAGAAAATTTAAAGAAGCCGCGTATATGTTGTCCAACAACGCATTTAGTCAAGCTAGCGAAGAGATACGTAACATATGGAAACCTCTTATCAAGCGAAAAACGACCAACTCCTGCCAAACGGTCATCTTCCGCTAAAACCAATGAAGCGGAAAGAAGAAAGAGGGGATAGGTGAAAGGTGAAAGCACCCGAATGACCTATAAATAGTCAGATCTCGGAGGAATAAGTCCAGTTATCACCCGAAGACGATTGTGGATACTAACAATCGAAACGTCGTGACGTAACTTGGTTTGGAATCTTTTAATATTCATTTTTATTTTTCATTTTTGTTAATAATATTTTCAATTTTCAGCTTTTATTAATATTTAAATTTTTTTTTGGTTGTTGCTTGTATGTTATTTCTTTGTAATTTCAGTTTTTTGTTTAAAAAAAATTGTTATTTTCGGTTAATCTTTTAATTTTTTCAGGGATTTCAAATCAATTTATATTATATTAGACAATGGAAGTCTGAACTGATGAAATACACCACGAAACATTGTCAACCACCTTCAAACAATAACAGTTTATGGTTACCTCAAAAGATTTTTGAAAAGAAGTTTAGAATTTCAACAGGTTAATTTTGGTACTAAACTTTGTGGAGAGTTATATTTGTTTTACAGTAAGGTAAATCTATTTCATATTTTTGTTCAGGTATTCATATTATGAATGTTTTTGACTCTGAGCTGAAAAAAATGTTACAAATATCCCAATCCAATACTCAATTCATAATTAGTTTCAATTATTATCTGATGCATTACGTATACAGCATTATGTTACTGTAATTCCTTCTCGAGAACATATGAAAAATTAAAAACATTTTCAGTAGATTCCGCTATGTTTGCAGAGAAATAGTTTTGACACAAGATCTTAACATAAATAGTGGCGTACAAGTAGTGATTTTAGTGGAAAATATTGCGAGATAATTTGTGTTATATTTATTTCAGTTGCATTAAATAAATTAGGAATTGAGTTGGGTGAATGATTTTTGTACTAACAATACACATTGTACGCAGCAACAATATTCACAATATACAATTCATAAAAGTGATTTTTTTATGTTAACACGATTGAGTTTGTAATTTGTTGTTCTTATCGGAAGTTGCCCCTATTCACATTGGAATATTGACCAAAATCGACCTGGAATCTTTTTGAAATGACGCTTATAATTTTCCGGCTCTACTTATTTCGACAAATTCACTATTTTTTCCGGCCTTGTAGAACAGTGAAGCAATATTGGCATGGAAAGGACATGGTAAGTACCAGCTGGTAGAGATAGATCTACAATTTTTCACAGGTACCCTCCGACTCTATAGATAATTATTATATTTTCAAAGTTTCATTTGGAATGAATTTCATATGACCAAAACTTTTCTGCTGCTACAAACAAACTAGGACTTAATAATAATAATATTTCTTTATTCACCATGAAGGTATAACAATAAACAGAAAAAAGGAAAAAAAACTTTCAGTATAAAGGTGAATAGGCGGAGTATCAGCCGAGCCGAGGCAATAACAAAAAAAGTCGAGTTAACAGTGGCACTGTGATATGATCAGGAAATTGGTTAATATAACCGCTGCGCTGTAGAAAATTCCTTTTTGTATAACCCAGGTCGGGGACGGACAAGTGACCAGACAGCAGGTAAGTCTTGTCTTTTTTTAAATTTTTAATTGTATAAGATCAAAACTCACAGGGTAGTTAATTATAACATTTGGGTGCATTATACAAGAAGCAGCGGGTGAAGATGGTAGATTTATGTTTGGGGATGACTAGAACTGGACTGTTCCGTGTGGTGAAACTATCAATTGCCGAGGATGTTCTGAGCTTCTTCAGTAGTGATCGGGTTGACAAGATATCAAAATTTTATGTGTGCTGGTGAGTAGATGCAGTGTTGTAAGTTTCTCAACTTTTAACCGCCCTATTCTTGCATAGCTGAGTATATATGGTCATATTTCCGGATGCCAAACCAGAAACGTAGACAGTTATTCGTGATACGCTGTAGTCGAAAACTATCCGAATGTATTAAAGCAGGTCCAATAATACCGTCTCAATAAGAAATTTTTGACATGATCAGTGCCTGTATAGTCTAAGTTTTAAGTTTGTGTTGAGCAAATCGCGATTTGGAAACAGCTGCCTGAGAACTTTATGAGAATTTTGGTTCAGATATCTCTGACAGTATTTCATTTTCGATGCGGACTTGAAAAGTGCACTTCTTGAGCTTTCTGTTCTTTTTAGGTCAAAACATCATTATCGCAGATATTAGAATTGAGCTTGAGCTTATGGGCTGTAAAAATATCAAATATTAAAGATCATTATTCATATATGACTGTGCAGATGAAGAATCACGAGGCAGAAAAGAGAAATATAACTGCGTGTCGTCTGCATAGTGATGTATATTTCATTTTGTACTAACAGATAAAAATCACATTTATAGAAGCTAAAAAGCATGGGCTCTAAGATAGATCCTTGTGGCACTCCTTCTGATACCCTATTTGTTCAAATATAGTATAAAATGAAATGAATATTCAATGCGGACGTAAACAGATCCCTCCCTCCTAACTTTAGAAAGGGACAAAATATTGAGATCGGACAAAATTTACGTTACGTAACGTACCGTTACGGGTGAAATGTATGGAAATTTATCACACCATTGGATTTTGGCATCTTTGGTAGGAAGTTGAGAAGAGCTGGCATTTTAACCACTGTCTTTGCTACACTGGCTTTCCGAAAATTCAACTATATTATAGATTTCGTCATTAATCACTCTACAACAAAAATGTTCCCAAACACTTTTTTCGTACCCCACAACTGTGATTCCTATTTTCGAACCAACCTAGTTGTCACCAACAGAAGATCATCTAACTAATCAGATCAGGTCATCTCCCAATGAAGTCAACTTGGTTGGTAAAATACTAGTTAAGAAAAATATTTTCCAAAACAACTTTGGCGACTTTCTCGAGGGGACATACATAACTATGCAAGAAAATATATATTTCAAAAAAATTCGAAACATTCACCTCTATCAATATCTCTGTACAGTAGGATCTGACAGCTGCCTGACGAATAACAACTGTTTCCCTAATCAGGTATTGGTGTAAGTTTCTCCACACAAGCTTTCTGTTCGTCCAGCAGCAGACCCCTGATACCAATAGAGGTCGGCTACAGATCGGTTTCGGAGTATTATTCCTAATCATTCCAGGACACCCCGTATATTATTACACTCAATAGTATGCCGTCTTGGTCAGATCTGCTCTGCACTGATGAGGAGTAACACTTTGAAATTGGTCTGTAGGAAACTTGCACAAATATATTATGGGTGAGTATTATTCAGTGTCCGTATTAGCCGGAGGATCCCTGTACAGGGATCTGACAATTCTGTTTTTCCGCACTGAGAGACAAAAAGTTTTGCGACTCACTCTATCTATGATGAAATCATGTTCTCTTGTGTTTGGGAGTGTCTACATTCACTTTTGTTCATCGTAACCGTAATCCAATTGAGTTTTGACAAAATAGTTACACTTGGATTCATTGTGTCATTGATGGTCAATGACATTATTGAAGAAACTTCAACAACTAATTGGAAACAATATATTAAAACTAATAATAATGACAAACAGTTTAGTGAGGAACAGCGTAGGCTTGCGTGTAAGCATTAGGAGCAGCATATGCAGCAGGAGCAGCATAAGCTACTTTGGCAACCGGAACTGCTACTTTAGCCTGGACGTGGAGAGGTTCCCTGCGGACAACAGCATTGAATCCGTGAACAGGATCTGCGGTGTAGTCTACTGTCCTCCTGTGACCATCGGGATCTACAAGGGAGTAGCTACCTTGAACAGAATCTCCTTGCCTTTCTTCGGTTTGGCTTTTGCTGTCACCAGTTAATCCGTCTTGTACATCGTATCCGTATTTGTACTGAGGATTCGGGTCGTAGTCTTCATTCACAGCGACCTTGGCATAGGCAGGAGCTGCGGCGTATTGAACAGGAGCAGCGACTTTGGCGTAGGCAGGAGCTGCGGCGTATTGAACAGGAGCAGCGACTTTGGCGTATGCAGGAGCTGAGGCGTATTGAACTGGAGCAGGAGCGTATTGAACTGGAGCAGCGGCGTATTGGACTGGGGCAGCAGCGTATTGGACTGGGGCAGCAGCATATTGTACGGGTGAGGAATATTGGGTGGGAGCAGCGGGGATGATTCCTGCATTTGCTACGGCAACCAGCAGAGCCAAAGAAAATATCTGAAAAATATATTGCAGAGTTTACTTTCAACTAGTGCCTATATATAAATCTAATGACTGAACAACTGATAGTTTAAATCATTGTGAAAGTATTATTTAATCTTGACATGAATCGGATTCCGGTGAATTTATGTTTTGCAATATTAAATTTTCTAAAATAGAGGGAAATCAATTCTTTTGAGAAGTTTCTAGTGAAAGAAGTAACATTCTGTGAGGAACGGTTCTTGAAATATTCAATATCGAACTGATGCGCAAAACAATAAGGTTCATTCAATAAAACAGTTACTTATTCATCACCAAAAATATTTCTGTGGCCATGTTGAAGAATTTGTCATCTAACACTAAAATATGTCATAATGAAATGCCAAAAGTAAACATGAGTGGACTTAAAAATACGGAAATTATAAAATTGAGAAGAAGAAGACTTAAAAAACAAGAGAAAACCATCATAATGAAATGTCGAAAGTAAACATGAGTAGACTTAAATACACGGAAATTAAAAAATTAAGAAGACGAAGAAGACTTGAAAAACAAAAGAAACCATCATAATGAAATGCCAAAAGTAACATGAGTAGACTTAAAAATAAGGAAATTATAAAATTAAGAAGAAGAAGAAGACTTAGAAAACAAGAGAAACCATCATAATGAAATGTCAAAAGTAAACATGAGTAGACTTAAAAATACGGAAATTAAAAAATTAAGAAGACGAAGAAGTCCTGAAAAACAAGAGAAACCATCATAATGAAATGCCAAAAGTAAACATGAGTAGACTTAAAAATAAGGAAATTATAAAATTGAGAAGAAGAAGAAGACTTAAAAAACAAGAGAAACCATCATAATGAAATGTCAAAAGTAAACTTGAGTAGACTTGAAAATACGGAAATTAAAAAATTAAGAACACGAAGAAGACTTGAAAAACAAGAGAAACCATCATAATGAAATGCCAAAAGTAAACATGAGTAGACTTGAAAATAAGGAAATTAAAAAATTAAGAAGACGAAGAAGACTTGAAAAACAAGAGAAACCATCATAATGAAATGCCAAAAGTAAACATGAGTAGACTTAAAAATAAGAAAATTATAAAATTAAGAAGAAGAAGAAGACTTAAAAAACAAGAGAAGCCATCATAATAAAATGTCAAAAGTAAACATGAGTAGACTTAAAAATACGGAAATTAGAAAATTAATAAGAAGAAGACTTAAAAAACGAGAGAATTGAAAACCAATAATGGTAACTACAAAAGCGATGGAAATATTACATCAAAATAATTATACTAAAATAATAAAAAAAAAATCCAGAAAAAAAATCTTGTGAAGCAAAACCCAAAGATTTCAATGAGTATTTCTCAAACAAAAAGTTACCGAACGAAGAAAATATTTGAGGCATTAAAACGAAAAAGGGAAGAAGAAATGATACAGAAAGAATAAAGAATATAAGCTACTAGGCCATGGTCGAATGAAACCTGAAAAAAAACGTTTCGACTGCCACTGTGGCAGACATCATCAGTGGTATGTGAGTTTACCGTAAGGACGTAGTAATGACCGTTACTGATACTTGAATTAGAAAAACATCACGTCTGTGATGAGTCATATGAGAGAGTGAAGCCTAAGTATATTTATTTCAAATCCACAATGTGTACAAAGCCATAAGCATAAGAAGCAAGGAAAAAGATAAGGAAAAATTCATCTTTTCTGCTTCAAATCAAAACAAAAAAACATGGTTAGCCTGCAATTGAAAAAGTTAGAAATGAATTTGTATAAGGTTATGTAAATTAAAATAGGAGTGGGGGAAATTTGATTTTATACTTTGAACATGATAGATCAATATAGATCAATAGTTATTGCACTATTTTTCGTTTTGGTAAGCATTCATATACCTCACTTCAAATCTGGTACCTATACAGGGTGTTAATTGAACATGCGGCAAAAATTTAAGGGACTATTCCTTAGACTGTTCCAAGGGTATTTTGTCGTTTGATGATTTTTGAAAGGGGGCTTTGTTTCAAAGACACGGGTCGAAAAATAAATTCGACAATAACAATTTTGGCAATTTTAAAATTATTAACGTAGCCGAAATGAAAGTATAGCGTACTACACTGGATCTGCCATGAAATAAAAAATATAACAATTCCGTTGATACCATCAACAACAATTGCGTTTGAAAAAATAATTTCAAGTTTAATAGTAGTGAAATAAATATAAAACTCTGTTTCGGACATTGTCTGACCAAATCTATTTCAAGTTCAATTAATTTTTTTTTAATAACTTGATCTCGAATTGTTAATATATAATAATAAATTGATGGATGTAGCCGTTACTACGTTACTGACTACTATACTACTATTTACGTTTTTTACCACTTATTTACAGTATTTGTAACTAACGTTACTATGATTTCCAAGGACATTTTGAAATAAATACAAACGAAATATTGAGCCAGAGTAAAATGAAAAATGTGCTTTCATTTCATTTTACAGAAATAACTTTCCTGAGTATAATTTTTCAGTGCGCCATTGGTTACAGATACCGTCAACTACATATAACAATCCATTAGACAGATGCCCTGACAAAGTTCAATATACAGGGTTTTTCAGAAAGAAATGTCTCAAAATCAATTTTGAAACAATCATACATAAAATATCCTATAATACGCTTTCATGAACGTATGTTACTCTACATTCTCTTGTGGTTAACAAAATTTTTCACCAATGAAACAATTTCTATAACTCAAAATGATGTCAATGAAACTCAAAGTAACTCAGTTTCTAAAGAATATTACTGGAGTTTCATCCCAACACCAAACCGTTATGTTAACACCTCGACAGGTGTTTCGACCATCAAGTGATCATCTTCAAGAGGAAGCTTAAACTTCCTCTTAGTGATTAGTACACCAAAAGTACCAAACAGTGCACCACAACTCAGTTTCTTTTGAACAAAATAAAAGTAATTCTTTATAAAGTCCGTCACGATATCTGTACATGATTGAGACTTCATAAAATATAGTTTTGAGGGATGAACAACATGTCTACCCCAAATGGTGAAAACCATTGTATGATAAAAAATGTACTTACTCACTTTGGAATCGCTTTAATTAAACCCAACTCAAAAATTTTGAACAAAAACTAATTGTATAAATACACACCTTACTGAATGTCATATTGTGCTCCGTTGATAATCACTTTTGTTTCTGATTGATCTTGTGAGTAATTCGAACATTTATATACAAAGGAAAAAGTGGAACATCGTCTGGAAATCTAGACTGCCACGCCTTCGGCAGTGGGCTATCAAATAAAGTCGTGAAAAAGTTATACAACATGCAATTATGCAATCGAATGTGTTACATTTAATGTCAATATTCAGATACAGCTGAAAATTATAATTGAGATCATCAAAGGTGCAGCGTATTGATGTAGTGGCCCAGTGAATTATTAGGTAAGAGCATTTATTTTCAATTCGAACTACCGATTATTCTGTTGATATCATCATTACATGTTCAACTGATAATTTGATCATTTATTTGAAGATTTCACATCCTTCCTGGTTCATTAAAGACTAAATTAATGGTGATGGGTCGATATCAGGTATTTACCTTCAACATATCCTGTATTTAAAAAAAAAAGTATATTGTGCAGAAGTGCAAAAGAGCAAACCAATTATCTTACTATTGCTTTCTTAAATCCAACTACTAAGTAGCAATTCCTGAACATAATGTTGCAATAGGTAGTAGTACTATAACAATAATAATAACTTTATTCGTCTTTTCGATCATTTACATGATATAAGACATGCCATAAATAAAAATATGAAAATTATATAAAGCAATAATAACGGTCCACAGTATAACATATAACACTTGAAACAGGTACTTAACTATATACATATATAAAAAATAAAACAAACACACATACACATACAACTAGACATACAACTTGTTCATTAAGATTAGTTAGACAAGTTAACAACAACAGGCAACTAGATGTCTATGAGAGTGTAGAAATAAGTGAACACAATAATATTATGAATAACGATGACGGACCTATACCAAAGAGCATACTATATAGCTTGTTAAAGTAAAATAAAATAATGTTGTTGGGTTTACTGATTACTACATAAGGACACATTGCAAAATTAAATTTGGATAGGCAATATTGTGAAATTAATTTTTATATAGCTGAAAATTGTTTTATATAAACATATATTGTGAAATAATAGATAAGGCAAAATTGTAAAATCAATTTAGATTGGTATACATGTATGGTTGGTACGCCTGTATGGGTTACCTTTATAGCATAAATAGGGTTAGCTTGCATCAGTTTCTAGTTTTGATCTTCCTCTTTGAAGATGATCACTTGGTGATCGAAACACGTGTCGAGGCATTGAAAATAACGATTTGATGTTGGGAAAAAACTCCAGTAATATTCATTACTACACCAAAGGTTCCAAACAGTGCATCATAAATAGCTCCTTTATTTGTTTTGTAAATGGTATAATATGCAAATCTTTAATATCTTTGCTATTGAATAATATTATGCCATTATATGCAAGTGATTCCTTGAATGTTAATGTTTTACGAATTGGGATAGTTAATTTCTATTTCGTGTTGCATAGTTGAGAACTATTGATTCATTTCTCAGATAGGGTACATGATTTTTCACATGGATCAGAGCTTTATATATATATCAGATGGAGCAGAGCTTTATATATATAGATACACGGTAACGTTAGCATCTTATTCTTACAGAAAGCAGGTCTACAGCTATCCCTGGGTGCAATATTAAAGATAGTTCTAATTATTCTTTTCTGAACAATAAAAACACGTTTTGCCCCCACAGAAGAACCCCACATTAATACATTTTGAGCCATATGTGAGTACGCCAATGAATAGTAAACAGTCCTGATACCATCTAAACTAAGCACGTCTTTGATCTGTCGTATTGCAAATAACGCTTGATTAAATTTTTTGCAGACATGATCGATATGGGACTCCCAAGACAAGGTTTTATCTATAAACATACCAAGGACTTTGACTGTTTCCGAGAGTTGGATGTTGTTGAGTTTCACTGTTTTCCTTAACGCGAAGCTTAAATATACTGTTTTACTTTCGTTCAGTTTTAGTTGATTTCTATCACACCAAGAAATCATGTCATCCATGACTGAATTAATGTTGTTTTCTAGCTCCTCCGCAGTATTTCGGGAAGCTGTTATGGTAGTGTCATCTGCGAATAGGATAATGAAACCTTGTTTTATATACTTCGGAAGATCATTTATATAGATAGAGAAAAGCAGTGGGCCTAAAATGGACCCCTGTGGTACCCCAAGAATAATATCTTGATTATCAGATACTGCATTATTCACAGTCACTACCATTTTTCTATCTTCCATAAAAGATTTTATCCATTCTAGAAGGAACCCTCTAATGCCAATGTTATATAACTTAGTAACCATTATGTCACTATTTACTGAATCAAACGCCTTAGCCAAGTCAAATAAAATTGAAATTACGTACTTCCCCTTATCGATTTCATTATAAATAAACTCGAATTTTCTAGCAATAGTAGTCTCAACTGATCTAGGTTTTCTAAAACCTACATGGTGCAGGTGGTTTCAGTCGCAGACCCAGGACAGAGATATCAACCTGGCTAGGAACCTATGCGACTGTATTTCAAACGGAAATCTACGCTATTGAATTGTGTGCAGAGGGATTGGAAGAATCCAACCTCATACACAAGTCAATAAAAATATTCTAGGATAGTCATGCGGCGTTGGAAGCTCTTGGCTCCTACTGAGCAACGTCTAAATTGGTAGCAAATTGCCAAAAACGACTCTCCTCGATAGGAAGAGTTAACAGATTGTCTCTGGTCTGGATTCCAGGCCGTATTGACCAGTAAGGCAATGAGGCTGCTGACTCCCTTGCAAAGGAGGGTGCTGCAAGCAGTTTCGTCGGACCAGAACCTGTCATTGACATCGCTTTAGACTTCGCCAAATTGAACACTTGGATGGCAAGGGGATTTATGGGCTTCTAGCAGAATCTTCCAGGATTGGCTCACTCCAATGCGTTTATTCATTCACCCTTCGAAGCTTTATGTAAATTTAATTTTAATGTACTATTTTACCTACTAATTGACAATTCCAGTACATGTAAACCATGTCAAAAAATTGAAGTAAATATTGGTTGATTTATTGGCAATTAACGCCAGATTTTACTGATGCTCGTTGCCTCCTTCCTCCTATTGAAATTATCCCTGTGTTTCTGAATTTTTCAGCCACTCTCAATTGATTTTTAATAATGAAATTTCAAAATGAAATTCGAAACATTCATTTTTCTGAACGTTCCTACATAGTAGGATCTGGAAAATGCTTGCCGAAAAACAATTACTTCCCCGGCTAATACCCCGATGGACTGGCATCATTAAAATGGAAAAAATAGGGATTCTGATGGAAATATGGAAGTTCATATACCTTTCAAAAGGCATATATTAGATAATTGTGAGGATTTCCAAACCCAACAATAAACAAAGGATGTCGAAAATAGAACGTGCAAAGTTCCATCAATAATGCCATCCTAGCGTTCGTGTAAGCTGGTAACCTAGTTATTTGGTCGTATATTATATGATATAAACGACCGAATCAATCATTCCTCGAATAACAAACCTGTGCCGAAGCCATATAGTTCGATAAACCGCAGTCAGTTTTTCTTCGCTATTCGAAGAGTTCATAACAATCGAAGAGCTCGAGTCCCCGGGAAAGTTGAATCAAACAGACCCACCGCAAACTGTCATCGAAATTTTAATCAATCAAATTTTGAATTTTAATGAATGTGTTCGCGGTGGTTTGAAAGAAAGCGGATAATGCGAAGGGGTGACTTATTTCTTTTTTGAAGCCGCTACCGCATCGTATGAAGGGTTAGTATTGTAGTTGATGATTATATCGTCCAGTTGCTGGTGCCTTCAATTTTTGACATGTTCAATAGTTCGCAAATTACTTAATTTCCGTCTTTTCATTTCAAACCAATGTTATGAACGGATAAAAAACATTTTTCTTCGTTGGAGCCGGACAGTCTGATTAATTTCAGCAGACATTAGTTGTGATTTATAATAATCATGTGACTCATTTTAATGAAATGAATAAAAACAGTTTTGTCTAATTTCCACTAGTTAATTTTATTTATATGACCGGTTTCGGGTTTAACCCCATTATCAAGTATAAAACTAAAATGTGAAATTTGAAAACCCAGACACCTATCCTTCTATCTTACCTATCTGATAATTCCCCTTCCATATTCTCTGTTTCACTATCACTGTCGTCATTTAAATCTATAATAAATTTATTTCCACCATTTATATGGAAGTGTCCAATCTCCATATAGCCTTTTTCAATGAAAATTACTTTTTTAATCCTTTTCTGCCAGTCTTCTTCGGTAATATTAGATACTTCTTCTTCAACTAATAGCTCTATTGTCTTCTTATCAAATTTTTATCATACTTTTCAGCAATACTCTCAAGGGCATACACTTTTTCAAATGTTTTTGTCTGTAAAACTTCAAGTAGTTGGTTTTTGATTTAGTTATCTTCAAAATACAAATTGTTATCTATTGAAAAACTTTGTATTTCATCTTTCCTTGAATTTTCATTGGGTACTTTGATGAGCTGTCGCGAATGATAGAAAGCGTTTGTCAAGAACTATTACACTATTCGCATCCAAATTTGGGATCAATATGTTTTCAAACCATTCCTCAAAAATATTAGCCTCCATGTTCTTATGATAGTCAACATTGCAGTCCTCAAGTTTTTTCCACATAATTTCAAAGAATTCGGAATCCATCCCTTTACTTCATCCGCAATGCACAATGATTAGTCGCGATCCTTTGTTCACAGGCATGTTAGGCGTACACATTCTCGAACCATCAGTCCACCCTTTCGTAACTGTGTCGTAGGTGTCATACCAAGTTTCGTCCAGATAGAAAATTTGCCGTTGTTCCCAACATCAAGATTTTTTCTAATTCATTACTTTTTAACCAATAGGTTACGGTTTTCAGTTCATTGCGTAAGTGAAATCATTTTTGCCTTCTTTACACTCGAACAGATAGTATGTTGATCTGAATACAGTTTTCACATTGTGAAAGATTAAACACCCAAAATAATCAATGCAATGGTCAATTGTGCTCCATATTTTTTGTACCTTCATCCTCATGTATATTTATCAACAGAAATGTATTTTCAGAAACAATGA